AAGGTGGGGATGAAAAGCTCAGCCCACAGGTAGCACACAATAAGCACTCAATAAATGGTCTTTGTATCGTTCATTCACACAAACATTTATTGGGCATCTTCTGTATGCCAAGACACTGTGCTTGGCAGTGGGGATGCAGCAGTGAATACTACAGGAAAGTTCCTTGAGGGCTTACATTCTAGAGGAACTATACTGCTATACAGAAATACAATTATGACCACATCCATGAGGTCTCAGACTATGAATCAGTAACAGTAAACCACGTTACCTGTAACTTCACCTCCTGCTAATTTTCCTGCACAGTCACTGCACTCTCAGCACACTGATCTTCACATGCTTCTTTAAACACCCCAGGAATGATCTCACCTCAGGGCAATTGCAGTGGCTGCTCTCTCTGCCTGCAGTGCTCTTTCTCCCTGTCTCCTCACTAAATTTTCTTACTTAAATGTTACTTCCTCAATGGGGCTTCCATAACCTAACTTTAAAATTGCAACCCCTGGCACTCTTGATTCCCCTCCCTTGTTCTTTTTCTTTTTTCCCTAGCACTTATCACTTCTTAATATTTATTGTCCGTCTGTTCTTCCTGTTCTTAGTATATTTCTTTGTTTGAGGAGTAGAGGGGATCAGGTCTCTGTGTATATTCTTTCCTGATTATACAGAAAGGAGTATACATCTGTATTTCATAAAAGACATGTAATTGTAGAAGAAGCAGCATAACCATATGACTATTAACATTGCCTTACATCTTAAATCAGTAGTAAAAAAATTAAACGTATCCCTTTTGGGTTACAACTCGCACTTGGTGAACTTTATATTTTTCTCCTTTTCTTTTAATTGTTGAACTCATAGCCTTTTATAGACTAAGCTTGTACCATTAACTAATTTTGTTCTTTTTTTGATGTTCAGATTGTCCCCTAGGAGCTGATCAAGTTCATTCCTCTGTTCTTTGAGCACTACCCTAGATATTCTTGAAAGTATTCTTGCTCTCTGGCAACAACAACATGCTTCATTTATTTCCTGTCCCTAAACATGGACTTAACCATCTTTGGAGGACTTCAAGTTCCTTCGAGCAGAACAATCAGTAACTTATTCATTCTGCACACATTGTGTGCCCACTCTGTGCTACACACTGTTCTGCTTCCTGGGGATACAGCAGGGAACAAAACGGACCAAAATCTCTACCCTCACACAGCTGACATTCTAGTCAGGGGAGACAGAAAATAAATAAGTAAATGATGTAGTATGTCAGATGTGGACCGTACTAGAGAGAGAGAAAGAGAGCACATATAATAGAGATCAGAAGCATTGCCTGGAATGGAGCAGTTGTTATTTTAAATGGAATGGTTGATTGGATATGAGCTGTGAAAGAAAGAGAGGAGTCTAGTTTTTGGCTGAGCAACTGGAAGGATGAAATTGCCATTATCTGAAATGGAGAAGATAGAGGAGGAGCAGATATGGAGGAGATCAAGAGCTCAGGGTGGTACCTGTTAAGTACTCGTGTGAGGTACTTATTAAACACTGAAGTGGATTTTTTGAAGATGTAGTTAGAATTTCCAAGTCGAGTTCAGGAGAGAGGTCTGGGCTAGAAATATACATTTGGGAAGTATTGATACACAGTTGTGTTTATACTATTTTTTTCCAATTTAACATCCTATCTTTTTGCCATCTTCTTTTCATACTGTATTTACTTTCATTTACCCCTCAAACTGACTCCTACATTGACAGCTCAGCACAATAAAATCCATATTCCTTCTCATAATATCAAGACCCTGTGTGATCTAACCCTTTCCTACCACTTGGGCCTTATCTTAAACCACTTTCCTTTACCATTCACCTAATTTCTAACAGTCTGACTTCCTGACTGCTCCTCAAAAAGCTCCTTCCTGCCTCTTGGCCTTTTTGTGAAAAAGACCTTTCTACTCCTTAACTTTTACACGTTCTTCAGTTCTTTCTCATTCTTCATTCTTCAGAAAGGCCTTCCGTAACCCTTTGTATGAGTGATGATTCTTTTGTGTGAGACCTGATCCAGATTGGCTTAGACAAAAGGAATCGACTGGTTTATGTAACTCAGCAGTCCAGGGCAGAGCGGTTTCAGGCAATGCCATATTCCTAAGTGCTTAGGCCCTGGCCTCTTCCCTGAGTCCTCTTTCTCACACGTGACATCCAACCCTTTAGTAAATCCTGTTGGTTCTACCTTCAAAATATATCCCAAATCAGTCATTTCTCATCACCTCAACTGCTGCTACTGTGGTCTGAGCCTCCAGCTCTCACCTGGACTATTGCAGTAGGCTCCTCACTGGACTTCCTGCTTCCACACTAGCTCTCCTTATCCCTAATCACTTCTCCACCCAGCAGCCAGATAGATCCTCTTAAAATCTAGTCTGTTCACTCTCCTCTGCTTATAACCCTCCTCTGGCTCCTGTCTCACTTAGAGTAAAAGCTAGGGTCCTTACCAGGGCCTTGTAGGCTTTACACAATCTGCCTCCCCACTTACTCTCTGACCTCAACTCCTACAATCCCCCTTCGCTAATTCTTCTCCAACCACACTGGCCTCTTTGCTGTGCCTTAAACATGCCAGACACACTCCCGCCTCAGCACCTTCGTATTTGCTGCCCTTGTGTGTGGAATACTCATCCTCTGTATAGCCACACTATTTACTTCTTCACTTTCTTGAAGCCTTTACTCAAATGCCTCTCAGTGAAGCCATACTGAGCACTCTATTTAAAATTACAGTTCCCAGTCCTGTACTCCTTATCTTCCCTCATCGTTGAATTTTTTTCATTGTACTTACAACCCCTGACATCATATATTTTATCATATCATTTATTTGTCTGTCTCTCTTAAGAAAAATTTGAGCTCCATGAGGCCAGGATTTTTGTTTGTTGTGTTTGCTGCTGTCTCTCCAGTGCCTGAAACTTCCTGGCATTCAGTAGGCATTCAATAATCTCTTTGAACTAGTGAAGTCCAGATGGTGGCCAGGCATCTTTGTACAGGAATGGGCCGGGTGGGAAGTCATCCAAGATGTAGTTATTGAAGTGATGAGGATGGGTCACCCTCATAACCGTAAGTGGGGCCCACTTTACCTTTTCTTGTTTCTTTTCTCCAGGCTCAGCGACAGCCTCACCAAGGACTCCATGAATATCAAGGCCCATATCCACATGTTGCTAGAGGTGAGAGCAGCTCACCCCACTCCCCGACTCTATCTCCAAATGTGTTTAGAGTGGTGACCTGCAGAAGGGAGAGAGCCAAAGAAGGGAAGGACAGTCTTTTCCTCTAAACCGAAGCCAAGAGAGGGAGGTTAAAGCAAGCCTGGGGTGTGGCCTGGACTCAGTCTTTGTTCAGTCTCTTCTGTCCTCTTTTTCAGGGGCTTAGAGAACTACAAGGCCTGCAGAATTTCCCACAGATGCCTCGCCATTGACGTCTTCCTCCCATAGTCTGACATTAAAAAGACTGAATGCCTTTGAGTCACATGGCCCTTCTTTTTCCCCATAACCCCTGCTGGTTGCCAAGGTGCCCTGTTTCTAGAACACAAAGTTACTGGGAGACCCAGAGATCCAGTCTCTGTATGGAACCACTAAAATACCCGGGAAGTCCTGCCTACAAACTTGGCTAGCAGCATTTGCCACTTAATTTTATGCTCTCCCTTTTCATCTATCACCTTGGCAATGTGGACCCCCACCTCACCCTTCCTTCCATTCCTTTTACTGGACACCACCCTTTGAATTGCCACAGAGAATAGGACACTTCAGGGTGGAGGTTTGTTCCCATGGCAAACAACCTTTCACTGCTGGCCCTAAGGTTTACCATTTTCCCACACCCCAGTAGTTCCTCAGGTACCCTGAATTACACCCACACCCGACTCAGCCCAACCTTGGCCTCGCTCCTGCTTCTAAATGGTCCCAGCTTCCACCAATAGGTGCAGAGCCAGTCCCGATACCCTTGGCGGGTCCCTATTCTAGGTTAAGTCCATCTTCCGCCAATCAACGCAGAGCTAGATTCCACCGCTTCGTAACTCTGGCCGCAGCTGGACCCTGCCCCTCTTTGCAGGCATTTAATTTCTGTCACTCAAAGCTCCTTCGCGTGTCTGGCGACCATCCTGCCACCCTACCTCCGCGGTTCTAAATATGTCTTGTAGCCAATCACCATAGAGTTACCCTACCAGCCTACGCAGAGTCGGGGCCGAACCCCTCTCTGCCGGCTGCTACGCCCGTTTCTATACAAGTCCTGCTTCCGCCGAGCAGCGTGGCGTGCAGACCCGCCCCCGTGGTATTTTGGCAGCTGTCTAGGCCCTCATCCGCCAATCAGCGGAAAGCAGGCCTACTCCCTCACCACCCCCGTCTGTGGTCCATCATTTCCCCTTGGGCCAATCACGGCAGAGCTCTGTGGGTTAGGCCCACCCCACAGCTCCGGAAGCTGTGCTGTTGAACTCTGGCGCTTTAGCCAATCAGCGAGCAGCGGGGGGCTCGGCTCCTCCTCCACGGGCCCACGTGAGCGGTCGGGAAACGCAGGGGCGGTTTCTAAGTGCTGCCGCCGCCGCC